ATAAAAATTGAATTTTATTATGTACCTAATAATATGTTTGATTACGTATTACTGATATACACTAATTGTTAAAATGTATTTATAGCAGCTCTGGCATTGTATGTTGACATATGTATTGAGAAAACTATACATTTTTTGTCAATTTCTCATTAGGTTACAATACATACAAGCCTATTAATTCATTGCTTGTAATTTCGAAAGAGTATAGAACAAATAAAAAATAAACCCTATATTTAGTTTATTATAACCTATACTTTTTTAATTATTCAAAAATATAATTATTTCAGACAATGTAAATTAAAACACAATAAATATATTGGATGAAAAAAAAATATTATAATCCTAAATTAATTTTTCATAGAGTTTTATTTAAGTGCATTTTTATAGTTCATTGAATAGGATCAAGAAGATCTTAATACTTCCTACCGTCTTATAAGGCGAATCAAAGGTGGTTCTCATAGCTGTGATTAAGTATTGGTACAAGATTGGAGGAATAATCTAAAGTGGACATTTTTTATAATGAGTTTTTACTAAATTATCATCATTTCAATACCAATACCATATCAGTTAATTTTTTCAAACAATTTTGTCCTTAATAAAAGTAAAATAATGGATTTGTATACAAAGAAGATACATCAATAAATGTACCTAGTTTCCTTATAATTATAATTGTGTAGAATTTCCATATTATATTGTATGTAAATAAAACAATTTAAACATAGAATCATATCTTATGTATACAATTAAAGCCAACAGGATGACCTACGTTATATAAAGTTGTTTGAGAATTGTATTCGTCAAATCGTGACCTGTGATTTATTGCGTTACAATAAATTGTGATTGGGAATTGATGATCGAATTAAGTTTAATATATCAGATTATTAGTTTGATGCGTTGATCAGAAAGCGAGACCAACTGGAATAATAACGGTTTAATACAATTTTATTTGTATCATCAAAATTTATATTTTTAAAGTTTTTTTTAATATAATTAATAATACTATTGATTCATTATATTAATTATAAATGTATACAAATATTCAGAATACTATTTTGCAAATCTATATGAATTTAAAAATAGTTGTCATTTGAAAATCAAAATTAATGTAAGAGTATGTTATATATTTATTAGTTTATTGGTTTTATTGTATATAAGAATAAGGTATGAAAATATTTTGATTATAATAAAGTATAAAGTTTTATGAACTTTATAGTTAAAGTTTTTTTAAAAATGAATGTTATATCAGGTTAACTTTTTAAAACGACTTAAATGTATTTAATTTAATTTCTATCAAAACTTATGATGTTTATTTTTATTATTTTGTGGTGAAAATTTATTTTTGAGAAGTAAATCTGAATCAAAAATTTTGCATTACACTTTTCCGATAAAACTTTTAACATAGATGGTATTCTTTAAATATAATTTTTTGATCATTGTAATAGTTCTTTTAACACGAAAAAATCCGAAGTATCCTTAGATACTTTGATAATAATTTTAAAATAATATTTATTTATTTTTTTTGTTTAATTTAAAATTATATGTAAGAATACTTTAATCCCTAATATATTAACAGTGCTACATTTGCAAAAACAAATAGACCATTTACACTCGGCCCACACATAATAAGGGTCTAACGAAAACACGCAAGCAACATTATATGGATTAATATTAATATACAAGTAGATGTAATATATTTTAATCATAATTTAAGAATAAAAAAGTTATGGTTGATTTACAAAGACGAGATAAAAAAAAAAAAATAAACATTACATTTATATTTTGTTATATTGCAGTGTAAAAGTTTGATCTGTACTCGATACACATTAATCACATAATATAAATAGTTAAAATAAATAATTCAATAATAATTATTAAAACATCCATTGATTAGAGTTTAACGGGAAAATGTATGAATTTCTTTTATAATTTCGTGCAACATGTTTAAGAAAATTTTAATGATTATGAAATAGAATCTATGGTATTTTTAAATAAAAATATACAATATGAAAGTTCAAAAAAAAAAAACTCCTAAATATAGTCATTTAGGTGATATTAATTTAGAAAAAAATAATAACATTAAAAAGTTAAGTTTATTAGTGTAATAAATTTTATAATTTGTGATAGAAATATACCTTAATTAAGTAAATTCAAAGTGGTATATATTCATATTAAAGTTGAAAAGAAATTTAGATTTTTATTTATTTTTTTAAAAAACAGAAATAAAAATAAAAATAACAAATCCAAATATACATTTACTATAGAAAAACCAAATAAATATGAATCCTGGTCATCTTATAGAATAGTTTCAATTTCATTGTTTAATATTTTCTCATAAAATATCAAAAAATCCTTCTAGCCAGCTGAAATGTATTGAAGATATGCAAAAATAAACATACATTTCAAAATATGAAAACTTGTTTACAAATTTTTCCAACAAAGCTTGTTAAAAATTCCTTAGATGAAAAATTATATTCATAATTTAAAAAAACAAAAATATAATACTACATAGGACCAAAACAATGTAGACGCTCTATGAATATTATCAAACGAAAGTAATCAAAAAATCTGAATTATGGCAATATTATTGACAATTTTTTAGAATTGAAAGCATGAAAATAATTGTAAATACTTTAATCAAATTTAACTTGAAAACATTTTTTTTTTAAGTATTATTAAAATCGATAATACAAATGGACTTTAAGTTGCTTCAATTTAGCTTTTTAATTTGTATATATTATAATAAATATTAATCAAACACATTGAAATATTATATTATAATTGAACAAGTATATTAAATAATTAAATTTAGTCTTAACAACGCAATTTCATTCTATGATTTAACACTCATAAGTAATCAATAATATACAATATACCTAAATACAGTATGCTTGGGTACATTTTATTTTATCATTGAAAGACAAAGATAGATGATTTGGGATATAAAACTGTAAATTATACAGGAACCATGAATTGGTAAATTAGGGCTTGTATATAGAATTAGTATTTATGTTTTTTTTTTTTTTTGTACATCTATTTTTCAAAATACATACACATTTAGGTATAGTATATAATATAATTTAGTAGTGTATAATATAGATTCAAATATTATTTGGTATAGCTTCTTAAAAAATATAATTTTAAAACTATTTTCATGACTTTTTTCCTATTTTTTAGACTTAAAACCCACGTTATGCATAAGCTTAAACTGTATCTTGATTAGAAAGGGTTTGGACACGTTGATTGCTAAAATACCCGGATGATCACCCATCTAGTACATCAGCATTTGACGTGATGTAACAATGTCATACGTCACTTTGTATCATACAGGGATTCCACACCTCATCGATCCTACTATAAATATTAATACACACAAGTGGTATTACAACAACAATATACCATTTTTTATTTCAAAATGTATTAAATTTAGTTACTTAGTTATTAAATAGTTTCCTGAAAAATGTATGACGTGAACCTTTTTTCCTAGTGAAAATATGGTATAATAAAGATTTTACATATAATAATTTCTAAAAGTATTTATGCCACATTTTTATATTTTTATCATTTTTAAAAAAACATTTTTATATTTGAGCATATTTTTTAATATAGATTTACATAAACGGTTTATTAACTGTTTAACGTTAAAATGAGAAAAAATATTGGAGTGAAGTAAAAATATAAAATATACCCTTTTCTATTCCATTTTTAAGTTTTAAAAATTATTTTCTAATAAATCGTTATGTCATTATTTTGTTTTTATACGTCTAAATTTTAGCAGATTAAATTAGGGTTTATTTTAAAATAACGACTATGATAACAATTTGAAATTCAAGAATTATTTTATTTTAACGAACATAAAAGCTGAGTACATTTTAAAGTAGAATCAACTTAATTAAGATTTTTGATTTGTTTAAAAAATAAATACTAGAAACTTAATAATAATTCATTAGAGTTGGATCATCTATATAAAACCATACTTTATATAGATAATTAAAATATAAATAAATATATATATATTATTTGGTGCAAGTAGTACCTTTTTTTATTTGTTTATTTGTAATGGGGTTAACCAACGTAATATGTTGTCAAAATCTAGTTGATTGAACATGAGTCAGCGAGTGATTAATTTATTAGGGGTCGACTTACTATCTATTAATCATTCTCGAAAAGCACTCACCTTTGCGACAGATTAATGAAAATTCCATACCCTCTTTACAATAATATTCTACAGGTATTCGACATTTTCCAAGTTAATAATTTTTCATTTCAACACAGTATTGACAGTACAGACTGTCATAGTTTGAAAAAAATTAATTTCTATTACCTTTACCAAATTTTAATCGTGCGTGAAAAATTTACTTAAAGTCTTAACGTTCGATTGAATTTTAAATACTAAAATTAGAATTAAATTATAGATACTCATCAAATAAATCATTTTGAGCTATAATTTCAATTTTTAACAAAATTATATATTTTTATCAAATAGACACCTATAATCTTGATTTTTTTATATACCTACCAATAAAACAATAATTATAATAATAATAATAATAATAATAATAACAACAACAACAATAATAATAATAAGGTTATTTATGTCTCTGTCATGGCAAAAGAGAGTACATATTTTAAATTATTTACAAGAAATATATAATATTAATTTTTAATTTATGTGAACATATAAATGGTATAACTAGTTATTGATGACAGTAAGAAACGTATTAATTGAAAGTTATACATAAATTCTGAAGTTTTGGATTAAATTACCTTTGGCTATTATAGGCCCAAAACATTCGACATATAGGTTTAATTGAAGCTATTTTGTTATGTGTGAAATAACCCATAAAATGTAGTCATAAACTTAATGCAGTAGATGGGATTCTGCCATCCTAATTGTTTTAAAATTTTTAGGCAAATAATGCAGATACAATAACAATAGTTGCACCTTTGATTTAAAAATGTATTTTAAATAAATACTTATTTGTAATATTATATATTTTCAGGTAGAATAGATCATTGCAACAAAACTGTTGATATTTATGAAGATATCACTAACCCAGAAGTAACGCCATTGAATTTTGGTAAACCTCTCTACTGTTCATACAGATTTCGATCTTTCAAAGGCACACCTAAAGATTATATTCTTCGAATTAGATTTAAAAAATTTAAATTTGGAGTATTAATTAATGGAACATATTGCCAAGGAGGATACATGCAGGTAATAAATATGCGGACAAAATATATAAATAATAAAACTTAATTTTAGAAATAAAAAATTAAGTAACACATTTACGGTTTGTATATCCTTACTTATATGGTGCGTTCGTGATATGCATTAAATTAAAAGGTTTAAATTCCAAATATTATTATTGTGTTGTACTTTAGAAATGTGAGAAGAATTCTAATATAGCGCCAACGAGTTATCTTAAATCTTATACATTAAAAGTACGAGTATTATTATCATTTTTAAACCATAATTTCTGAAATGATATTCAAAAACATCTTTCCTACTACAATAAAACTTCCTTATTTGTACAAAATATCATGAATATAAAAACAAATTTCTTTTCATCCTAAGGACTATCCAGAGAATAAAGTTTCACACTTAATTATTCCAATTCACAACAAATTTTATCAAGCTCTAGACATTTTAAACATTTTACACTTTTAAATTTGTTTCCATAAGTTTGATATTATTATTGTCTTGGAATCTTTAGTAAACTGAAATACAAATTTAAGATAATTTTTAATTCAGTGTTAAATTAAAAGTAGGTACAATTTACGAGTACTGAAATATCAAAACTTTGGAAATACAATAAACCGTTATTATATAATAATTAAATAATCATGCAAGAAATATTATAAGTATAAAACATTTATAATTTATATAAATATGTAAACTCTTATATGGTTGGTAAGTTATATTATGTCAAGAACCCAGTCAAGATGTATTTTTAACTTTTTCCTTTGACTTTCAATAAAATGTTTTAACTCGCGATTAGAGAAAATTACAGTTTACAGTACTAAATTTATACTTTTTATCTTTTTATATTATACCATATATAAAATAATTATAATCTTGATTTATAACAAAAATGTAACTACGTAGCATAAAAGTCAATGTTTCCCAATAGTAATCCAATATTTAATTTAAAAAAATCTGAGCTCATGAAACACAAGAAAAATCACTATGTGTAACTAACAGTTGAGTATTTATATATTATTATTATTTTTTAATTCAATAAGGCGTAAAATAATTTATTTGATAATCTTTAAATTGTTCATAATCCCAAACATTTTTCAATTTAAGTCGGCTGTGAATATAGAAAAAAAAATGTTATATATTCTAATTTATATTTGATATTTAATAAATCCACGAGATATAAATATAATTCTCTTAAATACGAACCCAGAAACTTTCCCAATCATTTATCATAATCATATTCAATAAACGATTAGTAAGAAATCGTTCATGGTATAATAAATTGTAATGAATACGATTTAAAAGTTTGATATCGTTAAATATAAATAAACATTGCAGTGTTATGACTATAATAAAAAAAAAAAAAATTCAAAATAAATCAATACATTTTAAAATAATATAATAGTTGTATGAAATAACATAATAAAACGATAAAACGAAGACGTTTTGTATAGAAAATAATAATAAAATCATTTATACCTACATTTATATAATAAAACGATTGTAGTGTTGGAGTATTGGAATTATCATTGTTATGCATTCAATTAATTCACGCAGCTTTGTTAAATATTCATATGATGTAATTCACAAAAATATGTACATATTTAAAAAATACTGTGAATACTGTACACGTATAAAATACAAAGTTACGAAAACAAACTAAATATAAAAGAGAAAATATAAAAGCAATTGACAAAATCTTTACCCCCTTTAAATTTTTTTTCTTCTTTAATTTTTTGCTCCGGGCTTATCATTATAGAAAGCTTTTATTACATGAGTTAGATGGACTCTTAACCGAGTATAGTTTTTGGTAAAGATGAAAAGAAATTACATAGCTATGGCGTTATAAAAAATCTGAGCGCCCCTCTGGCGACACCCCATATTTTCTTTACCCGCTTTATTGTTTCTTATATACATACGCATATTATATACGAATTGAATGCAAAAACTCAATTCTAACGTATGCAGGTCAAACGATGTTATATTTATTTTCGTAGATATGTCTTTGTTTTATATATTGTTATATTCAGCAAACCCTTTATGATCCAGAAGGAACTTGGTTCATAGCTCAAATATTATTATATTTTTATAATATTAACTAAAAAATATATACTATATATTGACAGTGAGATGCAGTTTTATTTGGTTTCAAAAATACATTATACATTGCAATACGTTACACATGCATCATTTCGAAATTATTGCGTTTATTTTATAATTATAATCGTTAATTGTTTAATTCATTTCTTGGCAGCAATTCAAACTGGACGCTCTTAAGCAATGGACAAATGTTCAAAGCTAATGGAAAAAAAACCTGAAGCTTTTTTGCGCAAATATTGTGATCGCAGGTATAAACGGCCGAGAGGGTCCAAGGACGAGATTAAAGCTGATCCCTTTTAGGGGCTACATGGCGTTGATCTCATAATACTATACACTCATAATGCCCGGTGTATAGGAAACGAGGCCAAAACGCGGTAAACTGCCAACCGTTGGTGAATCTAACTGTTTAATGTATTATTTGTGTGTGTAGTGTAATGCATATGCTAACCCAAAAATACTTAATTAATTCCTCGCCCACAGCGAATACGTCATTGTAAAAATAAGGACTTTTTTTTTTTTTTTAATACATTCATGTATGTAACAATAATAAACTGACTAGGGTGTGATCGAAGCTTAAATTAAATTATTTATCTCGTCTAACATTCGGGTCAAATTTTATACGTGATGTATTTATAAACATTACTTACTAAATACAGGGATTATTAAAGTTAAACTCTATTCAGTGATTTCAATATAATATTTCTATAGGCTGTCTACATTATGAAGTTTAACATTTATAACACGTATTTTCTTTAACCACAAATATACGTGTAAACATACGAGTATATTTTTCTATGTAGAGAAATAGTTTAAATACTTGATGTATCATTATATCAGTAATCGTGCGTATGAACATGATTCAAAATAACGTACACATATTTAATTAACATGATTTAAACATTTATATGGTAGGTATATAATGCAATAAAAAGCTATGATTGAACTAATTTTCAAATGTATATTATACAATGTATGTATAATGATGTACAGATTAATCACGAATTTATTTTCAAATAGTCAAACCACAATCATAGTAGGTGTGTTATTTTATTATTTTAAACTTTATTATTAATCTTTAATCAATTTTCAGTTAGGTTTATTCAATAAGAAAAAATAGTTGCTGTCTTGTTAAAAATTGATATCTTTCGATAAATCATCATCTGTTTTTAAATTTTTACAGTTTTCTTGAAAACTTCTGAGAAAATCAATAAATTACGGTATCAAGTATAATCTGTCTTTAGTCTCAATCTACTTGAATAATAAAATTAGTATGTACACATTTTTGAGCTTTTTTTTTATCGTAATAAAATATTTTTCAAAAACTATATTTAAAAAACACATATCACCATAAAACCAATGGCTCTCGGCTCCATTTGTAATCTAAAATTGTGGGGAATATATAATAATAATTGTATGCGATCCTACCATTTTTTAACATGCATTTCTGATCACTCCATAGTTTAAATGTGTATATTACACGTATTTATTGGTGCAAACTGAAAACGGAAACAACCCATTTGTCTTGATTTAGTTGCTTTTATAACAGCATGAAAAAGGGGAGAAAGAATCCTATTTCGTAACGTGTATATATGTATAACAGTGAAAATATGTGTAAACTGTATACGCTTCGTAATAAAAACTTTATATTTTATACGTATTCTATAAAATCTAACAATGCTTAAATTTTGATATAATCACAAATGATTGATTATAATTTACTAAATACAATTTCATTGATATAATATTACGTGAATAGTATGATCAAATTAAACAAATTTAGCTTTATCAATATTCTGTAAAAAAAAATAAAAAATATTGTATAATATTAAATTTACGAAATATATAACTACAATTATCTTGATTATTTCACAAAATACTTAAATACTTAAAAATTATTAAAAGTTTGACCATGTAATATCTTCAATACTAATGAACTTAAAAGTAATTTTTAATTCATTTATATTTTAAGAATTCTTTACTTAAAATTTAAAACTTGAGCTATAAATTGTTGAAAATGTTATGCAAGATCAATCATAATTGCATATAACATTGAAACAATACGAATACTTCGTTATAAAGAGGTTAATGAAAATGATCAACACTCTTTATTTAGAAACTAACTTCTACTATTCATAATTGTATTACCACTGTTTTTAATTCGTTATGATTAAGTCCCGTACCTATTCACATTTTAGGGTAATACATAGGTTTTGACGAGTAAAAGAAAATGTAATTACGAATACTAATTAGGGATTTTTTTTGTTTTCATTTCATTTATCATATCCGAGATAGGGAAATATCTGTAGAGTTATAGTTGGAAAAAGTTTTGTCGTCCTCAGAGTTAATTGGCAGAGGGAGCGTGCATTAAAACGATCGTCCCGATAAGCTGACTGGGCGAGCCACGAACACGATACTTTAGATTATATCGACTTTAATGGGTTGGACCTACAACTATGGTATTTACTATTATATACATATATATTTATCATATACACCATATTATGTGTTTGCGTATTGCAGATACTCTTAGAGGGAAGGTAAAATCTCCAAAAGTATCCAATACAAATATCGAGTTTTATAATATACCGTTTGTATATTTATACATATATTATACGTTTATACATATACAGATTCATACAGTGAATAGATAACACAAGGCTACAAAATCATTTATACCGTATTAAATGCGCGTTGAAATTTCCATTAAGGGTTTAACTAGTTGAACCGAATGTTTTAAAATATAAAAATTATCTTTACTATTGGTTTGAACATAAAACTTCTATACATTTGAATAACTTAAATGAGTTCAATTGATTTGACTATTTATTTTTTATATTAAATATGATTTTAAAATTTCCAACTACTTGTAACCTGAGTGTTATCTTCATACTTATGTGCTCTAAAGTATTAGAGTA